GAAAAAAGTCTTCTATTAGTTGTGATATTTTTGGCATGAGATTTCAGGCCACCCCTGAGGATTTATATAAATTAGAGAGGGCTCATTATACTAATAAAGACTCATCCAACAGACCAATATCACTAGAACGTGGAGGCATGATTTAGCTTAACATGCAGAATTGGCTTATAATGGTTTCGAACATAGAGTCTCCGAGAGCTTCCTTGTTGTTATGAACATCTACTCTTAGGAGGATAGCTTATTCCATGGATATGGAAACTCCACACAAGAATCCAGACCTTGCCCTCTGTGTATCTTCTTTGATATTCTTTTTGACTATAATAAATCTGTTGTAGTAAATATAGTATAATTTCCATATATTCTGTAAAATTTCCTGCAAATTTTATTGAGTTCCCAAAGGGTAGTAAGAGCCAGCAGGTCAGAAAGTAAGGGTGTCACATGGACTCCGATGCTTGCAGCTAGCATTTTGAAGGGATAGTAAGAAATCCGCCCTGAATTTGTGGATAGCAGATCAGAGGTAGGAGTGTTATGCGGGCGCTTCAAAATTGCAGAGAGAGAGAGAGAGAGAGAGAGAGAGAGAGAGAGAGAGAGAAGCAAGTGGTTGAGCTATGTGGGTAGATGGTGACTAGAATGTGAGGACTACATCAAAATTCACATTTTGAGGATTGATTCACACTGATCCTTGCCACTCAGAACAGGTATAAAGAGACATGCAGAGGAGACCTTTGAAGCAGAGACCTGGGTTTTTAAGAAAGGACATTTTAATTTCAGCAGTGGAAGTGGAATTGGATAAGTTGTAAAGTACTATCTTTTAAAAAAAGAGTCCATTAATACAGTTATTAAAATCATTAATATGTTGCTTTAAGATTCAAAGAATCTCATAATTAAAGAAAAAATGTATATAGGTTTTGAATATAGATGAATGATTGCTCTCATTTAGGTCTGCTGCCTGGTGTCTCATTGATCACAATGGCTCCACTTGACTTTTTGGATATTATAATATTCTACAGAATTTTCTTTGACTGGTTTTTCCTTTCTCCTGTCCCCACAGTGCTAGTATCACTGAGGCTGATCCGCGCTGGCTGGGAGCATGGTGGATAGGGTTTCTCTTGTCTTGGATCTTCGCTTGGTCATTGATAATACCCTTTTCTTGCTTTCCAAAACATTTACCAGGTAAATATTATTTCATCAAAACAGAGAAATCTGTTCTGACAGTTTTATTCCAATTCTGGAGACTGTTGCTCTAATTCTAGACCAGATTTTGCTATCTCTGTAATTAATAAGAATTCTAGAAAATTCAGTCTGTTTGTTGTACAGACTCAATTGTCTCACTTTATGTGTAAAAATTTTGAATATATGTAATTTTTAAAATTCTGTAGTAACTTTTATCAGCATGACTTTTCTTTATATGCAATCAATAATCAACATAATGGTCTGCATATTCAACTCCTTACTATTTACTAATTTAAAAAAATAGTCTACCTGGCATCCTGTATTATATTGTACATGAGATACAATACATTTTAAACCACTACTTTGTAGTCACTAATTATAAAAAAAAATATGCCTTAAGCAATTCATATGACCTATTTGTTTTGCAAATGCAATTAACTATTTTCAATTATTGCCATAGTCATGCTTTGCATACTCACTTTTTTAGTACCATATTCATGTTAATACTGAAGATAAAGTTAATAGAAAAGAATACCCACTTCTCCAAGACCTTGCATCTATAACATTGACCTTCAAACATATGCCAGTATAATTTTTAGAATCATGGGAAAATAGTGATAGGTAGTAAATATCTCATTTGCTAATGGAGAGGTTTTAATGAAAACAAAATTTCTCATTTTAATATTTAGATTAGTTATAATTTTCTTAGCCATTGGTCATGAATACTTCTAGTTCTTAGGACTGTCAGATTACAGAATACACGTCTGTACATTTCTTGAGTGCTGGTCTATCTTTTATGGAATTTATGTACTTCTGTGAATATGAATCCTTTGAAAAGTAAACCTTTTAAAGTTAAAAGTGAAGTGATATAACAACTATACTTGCTATTTCTAGGTACAGAAAAAATTCAAGCTGGAAAAATTTGCCAGGCTCATCAGAATAGTAGTAATTCCACACAACAAGAAAATGTGAATTTTGGGAAAAGTTTTAAAGATTTTCCAGCCGCTCTAAAGGTAAAATCATACTGTTGACCCATATACAAATCTTTTCACAATGCATTCCTGTTTTTTTTATTTTCTAGTTCTATCTTTTGTTGTAAATAACCCTTCAAATTTAATTTTATTCCAGTTTGAGTCAATGAAAACGATTTCAGAGGAGAATATTTGAAAGAATATGAGCTAACTGATTGACAACATTTGGTGGTTTCTCATTAACACTGTATTCCATTATTCTAGGCAATGCCCCTCAGGTATTAGATTGATCAAATACCATCAAATTGTAAATATGTATTTAAGAATGCTAGTCTAATATGAGAGGCCATGCTTAGTAGTAAATTGATTTGAATTCAAGCTTAAAGAAATAATAAGAACAGTATACACTCTTCTGCTGCATTCACCAGAAAGACACTCTTTCTGTGTCGCACCGTAAACACTAGGAACACAGAGAGTTTAGTTTATTAACTTAACTTTTCACTATTTGAAACTACTTTCTTTACATTGTTCTTTGCCTTCTTTTCCAACCAAAGCTTTAAAATGCTCCAATTCTTCCATCTTCTGTCCCATACCTGTGTTTGCTGAGATGGGTTATACACTTTAATTCTATTACTTTTTCTTAAGAGTAGTTTTGTTCTGTGTCACACTTTTCTATTTATGTTACAAATTCCAATTCATCTGTATGGCCCAAGATATATATTCTCATTCAAATAACTGTGAAGACAACATTTTTTTTTTGAAGACAACATTTTATTGGTAGTTTGTCTCTAAGAATGAACCATCTACGTTTTCTTGAGTTTCTGAATGATACATTATGCTGAACTAATACTTGTGGTTCACATTCCTTTAGTTCCTCTAGTCTACAGATGTTTAGTGTTTTCTAGCTAATTGTGCTGCAGTGGAGCCATGTCAGTGTGGTTATTTCTTATTATTTCTGCCTGAAAGCTTGTAATTCTTTTTTCATTTATCTTTGAGGTTAGGAAATTCTCTAGCTAATGATGAAATCTGTGTCTTCTTTTTCATCAATCCTTTCTGGGAATATATGATTCTTTTTAATATTAAGATTCAAGTATTTTCCATTATTATTTTTTTCTTTTTATTTTATTTTTTAATTTTTTAAAATATTTTTTATTATTTTTTTTTCTTAACCATTATTTCTTCTCTTCCTGCAGACACTTTTCTCCTTTTCCTGTATCACTCTTTAAAGTCTGATATTTGATCATCTGGCTCTGACTACATCGATTATCTTTCTCACTTTCTGAAATCCCTTCTGACAGTAAAAACTACAAAAGCTGGAACCTCTGAGAGGTAGAAACCTGTCAAGGAAGGAAAACGCAAATATTTTCCATGAAATAATTGATAGAAAAATGTGCCTGTTCCCTATCAAAAGTGGCAAACTTGCTGGCAAGACCTGAGAAACCAAGGCAGTCCTTTCGGAATTTGGAAGGTCACATTTTGGTCTTCCAGGTCTCCTTGTTCTAACTACTGAGCTAAGAGGAGTCCTGGGGGTGTAGTGGTTACACATTGGCCCGCGGTCCTCAAATCCACGTTAGAAACCACCGGCTACTCCCACTCGGTTAGCAGCTCGTCTTGGAAACGCGAGAGGGCAGTTCTGTCCCGTCCGACGGGTCGCTCTAAGTCCACATGCACACTGTGGCAGTGAAAAGAAAATGAGACATGAGTTAAGTACTTGAAAGGCATTCTCATCTGCACTCGCAACCAAATTATTCATTAACTGGACATAGGAATTACGTAATACAAAAAAATTAAACAGGAAACAGCATAAGTAGTATACATTTGTAAGTACGAAGAATTATAGAAAAACAGGGGAACTGAGCCTTTCTGAGCGAGCCTTTCCCCCATCCTCTTCTTGCGTGCCACGAAGCTATTGTCACCTGATTGAGGAGTAATGTGCGAAGTCTCTAAGAGCTTGACATAATAATCATCCTCAACATTGGAAATCTGTAAATAATTCATTCTTACATTCTTGTGTTGGAGGAATTACTGAGAAATTATAGATTTCATAATGTTATCTATCGTTTCAATCCGGCACTTTCCGTTTTAAACATAGTTATTCACTTGATGATTTTTTTTTTTAGAATCTCACGAGGAATACTGTATTTATGTGTTTAGTTCTATCAACGACGTCAGAAGCCTTAATCACCACTGGATTTGCCACATTCTTACCTAAGTTTATAGAAAATCAATTTGGAATTTCATCCAGCTTTGCAGCGACCCTGGGAGGTAAAGCAACTTTTCCTTCTAACTCGGGCTAATGAGTTTACTTTTCTCATTAGATGGTTATTAATGGCATCTGCATAGCTTACTTTTGGAAACATACTCTGTACCGATTTTGATGGTGTTTTCTGATTTGCTGATATTTTACAATATATAGCCTACATTTAAGAGGTAGAATGTTACATTGCTATAGAGAATTTGTATTAGTTTGTTACTTTATGGAGCTATCAGGTCATTTAAGTGTCTATCCCTAAATCAGGTGCATATACTGATATGCTAAGGCCACAATGGTCACTATTTAGATATTTTTCAATTACAGTATGAATTTCTGAGTGTACACGTGTCTTCTCATCATCTGTGCTTTGTTTCTCCCTAGGAGCTATTTTAATTCCTGGAGCTGCTCTTGGTCAGATTCTGGGTGGTGTCCTTGTTTCTAAATTCAAATTGGAATGCAAAAATACAATGAAGTTTTCACTGGGCACATCTGCAATTGCACTCTTGCTGAGTTTTGTGTTTATATTTGCTAAATGTGAAAATGAGCCCTTTGCTGGTGTGTCAGAATCATATAATGGGTAAATATACATCCATTCTCTTTAGTATTAGTAATTCCAAAGTGGAAAACTATGTAACTGTATTTAAATATATGCTTCCTTAAAGTGCTGAGAATTTGGCTTTTATCTTTTTAAAGGATATTTCCTATATGAGAACATAAACATATTTTTTAATGGGGGCATAATTGTATGTCATTATAAAAGGTGGGTATATTTATGCAGAAGTCGTTTAAGGAGCAACTGCCTTTTATAGGGTTAGTACTTGGCTCAGGTGTACAGAAATGACTATAGCAAAATCTTTGCTTTATTAGGATTTACATCAAAGATAGCATTTCACATTACCTGTAGTTATTGATGCTGTGGGTAATTGGAGGCTGATGGGAGATGGAAATCTTATTGAGGCTCTTCTGATTCTTGTTAAGCATCTTAGATTGATCTCAGGCCATTGCACGACTAATGGATATTTAGAAAATATTAAATCCACTAATCAACTGACTATTCACATGAAATTTAATGTGTAGGAATTTTGTGTTCTAATCTTATGGAAAGGTGAGATTTGCATATTTGCGCAAAGGCCTGTCCTTACAGAGACCGGCTCTGACCACTACATCTAAAATAGTCTCCCCACCCCTCACCCCTCACCCCTCACCACTTTCCTCGCTCCTCTATTCCAATGGCTTTTAACTAGTGGTTGATTTAGCAATATCTGAAGACATTTTTATTTCTCATATCAAAGGCAGGTGATTCTGGCATCTAATGAGTAGAAGCCGGTGATACTGTTAACCTCATTATAATGTATCTAGTCACAATGAGACTCTATTTCCTTACTCCACTTAATCAATTCTATGTTGAAAGTAGAACTATTGTTTTGATTTTTTTCAACCAGTAATTAAGTATGTGTTGAGTCAAGGAATAAATGACTTAACGTTAAGATATGGCAATGCTTGTGAACTGTTCTTTTAAAGTTAGAATATCTTTAATTTTCTTTTTTTTAACTTGTTAATTATAGAACAGGAGAGCTGGGAAATTTGACAGCTCCTTGTAATGCCAATTGTAACTGTTTGCGATCATATTATTATCCTGTCTGTGGAGAAGATGGAATTCAGTATTTTTCTCCCTGCTTTGCAGGCTGCATACACTCTATTTCTGAAAGACAGCCCAAGGTAAGATGGCTTTACCTCCCCAGAGTCAGGCAATGTGACTGTGTACTGTGACCTTGATCTCATTAGTGGAGGGGCTCTTCTTTCCTGCATGCCTCACCTCTTCCGTTAAACAGCCTCCAACCCATCTAGGTTGCAATTATTATTAAACAACCTATTTGTTGGTCACTTACTCTATCTTTGTAATAGCTTTTTTTTGTAGTAGTAGTGGTAAAATATCATATACCTTTTTACTTTGATGTCTTTTTCCACAACTGTATTTTAAGCTTCTTGAAGTCAGTCTACAGTTACTCTTATAAATAGGAAGTCTTATTTATTACAGTGTATATGACATGAAGTTAAAAATATTTGCAGATTATATGTGATATATCATAGAGAGATTTTAAAATGTCCAAATCATTGAGTTTCACATAAAAATGTACTTTAAATTCTGGGCTAGAATACATATCCGTTTGCTCAAATGCTTTTTTTTTTGTATAGCTAAATAGTTTAAAAAATTTTTGTATAGTTAAATAGTTTCAAAATTTAATCTTAATTAAATTAAAAGTCTTAGGGACAAGTAATATTAAGTTTACTTGCAATACATAATGTTTTACATATTAGCAGATAATTAACTTTGAGGGCATAAGGGAAATATATACCACAATGAATAAGGTATTCAAAA